AGAGTGAAAGATTGTGCTCTTTGACCCTCCATAGTTCCTCTGAGAGAGTGTCTGGGAGATAGGTAGCTTGGAAATGGCCGTAGAACGTGCTTTCCTGGACGCAATATTCAGCCATTTCTACTGTCTTCTTCAACTTGATTTATTTCGAAAAAAATGTTCTTTTCCACGATTTCTGCACTGGACGCGTTTGGGATCGAAAATCTCACCTGCGCAGACTGGCTGCGCAGTTCACGCGCTGAGATCCCTACTGTTGGTGAAACCTGTATTATGCTGACCGCTCCAGGGACCTTACAGATGTGATGGCTATGCACTACAGGTGGTCTCCTTATACATGGCTCATGTGACTGGGGATAGCAGTCAAATGTTTGTGTTATTACATACTTCTATTTAGTCAATGCCGGAGAAATCACGACCAATCACTGTGGGGTGATGTGTTCAGTGCGCAATGTGGTCGAACAGGGTGCAGGGCCGCCGCGTTTAGCAGTGATCGTACCTGATAATATTCGCGCGTGTGTGTGTGTGTGTGTGTGTGCATGTGCATGCATGCGTGTGTGTGTGTGTGTGTGTGTGTGTGTGTGTGTGTGTGTGTGTGTGTGTGTGTGTGTGTGTGTGTGTGTGTGTGTGTGTGTGTGTGTGTGTGTGTGTGTGCGTGCTTGTGTACGTGTTCATATGCATCCATGTGTATTTCTTGGCTCCAGGAGGTTTGTGATGTGTTGAAGATCCAAGATGTACCCAACTTCCCAGCAAGGTACTGGTCATTGCTTGTGCCAATAGCACATGTAGATGCTGTACCTAGACATGTACAACTTTAGTGACTGCCTAGCTTTTACCTGCATTGCCTTGTGCAATTCAAGGCGTGTATTGGCCTGCTGTAGGATTCTCGTTCTGCCGCTGTGGGCGGAAGAATGGCAGTCCAGCAACATGTGTGTGTGTGTGTGTGTGTGTGTGTGTGTGTGTGTGTGTGTGTGTGTGTGTGTGTGTGTGTGTGTGTGTGTGTGTGTGTGCATGTGTGTCCGTGCGTATGTGTGTGCATGTGTACATGCATGAGTTCATGTGCGCGCACGCGCGAACGCACCCGTGTGTGTGTGTGTATGTGTGTGTGTGTGTGCGTACGTGTGTGTGTGTGTTTGTGTGTGTGTGTTGTGCATGATATTTTAACCTATTTCCACTGCCCAACCCAATGCAGTCTTCACTCACCGGAGCTGATTGTCTCCACAAGGTAAGAGTGTGTTGATGTCTTTAGCAGAGCATGGCAGTATCGGTAACCTTTTCCCCCTCTCCCCTGACAAAGCTTTGCACAGCAAAAGTACTTATAAACCCAGAATATTGTTTAGTACATGCTTACTTCGTATACGTGCATTCCTACTTTTGCTAAATCAAAATGCGAATGAAATTACTGATTCAAAGTTCTGAGGGATGCCTCAAGCAGCTTCAATGAATGAGTCGTGAAATTACTGTAAATCAACAAATTTTGGCCAGTGAGAAACTTTGGCTGATCTTGAAATGTAACTTCTGGCCGTCATCAGACTTTGGCCGATTGGGGTTTTCGAAAAAGAAATCCATCAGAAGTCGTTGCTCTCACATATAAAATATGCAGCCATGGCTCAATCATGCATCATTTGCCTCTATGAAACACTTTGGCCTGCGATTTCCTTTGGTCGTCTGGTGCCCAGCGGCGAAATTAAATCGGCTGCGAAACTAAGAGTTGATTTGCAGTACCGATGTCACTCATACCGACGGGGCTCAATCTTTCTGTACGATTACATGCACAGAGAAACCTGTCTAAGACGACCACTCAAGGGACATTCAAAATGTTGTCTCCATTGCCAGGTGGTCTCCTTATCCAGGGTCATTTGACTGGTAGTAGCATCTCTTGGTCCTGGTTACAGTGGTCTTCTGGGACAGGTGGTCACCTTATCCGAGTGGTCACTGCCTTGACAGGTGGTTTACTGTATCTTGTGACACGTTGTGTTTGATACGGTGTTCACTGTTCAGAGCTTCACTGGCAGATCAGGATCAGAAGATCTGGCTGAACTACATCACCGGCGAAGACAAGTATCAGGATTCGCTGGCTCCGTCATCCAGTCTGGCTGTGAGTGTGGTGCACCACTATACAGAGTCTGATACCGTTCACTGGGATCACTGTACCGGTGCCACGGCCGCCAGTGTTGGCAAGGGCGCAGATGTTTGTATTTGTATTATGGATTCTCCACAGGCCTTAGCCTAAATCGAGGGAGTCTATGTTGCCTGGTGATTTGGAGTGCACCACAGAGGTCACTCTACTCCCCCTCCCTTGGATGGTTTGTGATTTGGAGTGAACTGCAGTGGTCACTCCCCCCGCCCCCGCCCCCAGATGCCTGGTGATTTAGAGTGAGGTAGTCATTTGCTCTCCCTCTCCCCCTGGATACCTGCCTGGTGATTTGTAGTGCACACATTGGGGGGGGGGGGGGGGGGGGGTTGAACACTGCTCTATGGAATGTTGTGTGGCACTCCTTTACACCATGTCAACTTCTTTGGTACCTCTGCTCTGATGTCTCGTGTCTTGTGTTCTTGTGTGGATGTGCAGGGCAAGACAGCGAATCGTCGCAAGGGCATGTTCTTCCGGCGTGCCAAGTCTGAGGATAGACAAGATGTAGATCCTGCGCAACTTGAGGTGAGTAGAGTGACAGTGAGGTATCTTGAGAAAGCCTTGAGATGAGTAGATACCGTACTTCCACACATAGAAACACATGTGCTTATATGTGAACACTATTGGTGGAACACCGGGGAGCTGAATATACTGCTAAGCATAGTGAGGACACCGTTGTTTAGGACACAGAAAGACCGTTATTGCACATATAAGCGCATGAGCTTCTACCCGAACATGTTCACATAGCAAAACATATTTTTTGTAGCAAATTTTCACTTATACGTGTATACGCGCGCGCGCGCGCGTGTGTGTGTGTGTGTGTGTGTGTGTGTGTGTGTGTGTGTGTGTGTGTGTGTGTACGTACGTGTGCTTGTGTTATGCCTAGGTTCTGCTGCACGTTCAAAGCTGTGAAAACCTGGCGCTGGTCAAGTCGCACATTTCTCTCAAGCGCCGTGGCTTACAAGTGGTAAGTACCACATGTACCTGCTCCTCGACATCAGGTGTTCTGACTCAATGGGACCAATGGTACTACCTTATTTTCTGGGGTATAAGCCACACTGGAGTATAAGCCACATTGGACTATAAGCCACACTGGAGTACTGTATAACACCTTTATTTCGGTGTAATTTAAATTTCGGTAACTTCGGTACTGGTCCTGGATCACCTAATTTAACATTACACCTAAATTTTCCGAAATACCAAAATATGTAAAAATCATGAAAATCACTGTCAAATTAAAAAAATCAACTTGTATACTGGTATACCGGTAGTACATTGTACATACATAACATGTACCGGTATACATATGTGGAGCCTTTTGGCCTTGCTTGGCGGAGATATTAGTGCAAGAGCGTTTTTTTTTTTTTTTTTTTTTTTTTTTTGGTGCCATGCACACCGAATTTATCCTTACACCGAAAGGTCAGGGGTTGGCTTTTACTTTTACCGAAATTTTACAACACCGAAAATAAGGTGATATACAGTATAAGCCACACTGGAGTATAAGCCACACTGGAGTATAAGCCACACTGGAGTATAAGCCGCACTGGAGTATAAGCCAGACTGGAGTATAAGCCACACTGGAGTATAAGCCACACTGGAGTATAAGCCACACTGGAGTATAAGCCACACTGGAGTATAAGCCACACTGGAGTATAAGCCACACTGGAGTTTAAGCCACACTGGAGTATAAGCCACACCGGAGTATGAGCTGCACTGGAGTATAAGCCACACTGGAGTATAAGCCACACTGGAGTATAAGCCACACTGGAGTTTAAGCCACACTGGAGTATAAGCCACACTGGAGTATAAGCCACACCGGAGTATAAGCCACACTGGAGTATAAGCCACACCGGAGTATAAGCCACACTGGAGTATAAGCCACACTGGAGTATAAGCCACACCGGAGTATGAGCTGCACTGGAGTATAAGCCACACTGGAGTATAAGCCACACTGGAGTATAAGCCACACTGGAGTTTAAGCCACACTGGAGTATAAGCCACACTGGAGTATAAGCCACACCGGAGTATAAGCCACACTGGAGTATAAGCCACACCGGAGTATAAGCCACACTGGAGTATAAGCCACACTGGAGTATAAGCCACACCGGAGTATAAGCCACACTGGAGTATGGGCTGCACTTCCCATTTTTTTGTCACGAAATACAGACATCTACCCTATTCATCACCTTTTAATTTGATCATCATAGTGTAAGGCGCACCCTCCTTTTTTCTGGGTCAATTTTGAGTGTTCAAAGTGCGGCTTATACCCTGGAAAATAGGCAACCTAAGGCCTGTTTGGGTATTCACTTCAATGAAGACAACACAACAGTGTGCGTTTGTGTGTGTGTGTGTGTGTGTGTGTGTGTGTGTGCACGTGCACGTGCGCGTGTGTGTGTGTGTATGTATGTATGTACTCAATCTGCGGACAGCATGCCGTTTCGTTCTTTGTGAACTCATCAGCGCAGCACAGAGAAAATAAGGCCGAACCTGATAAAAAGTTATTTTTCCAAAGCCAGATAAAACCCAGGCATGTACGTACCTTGCCAGAGTGCTCAAACTGACAAGTCAGTGAGCATGTGTATGTGTATGCATGTGTTTGTTTATACTGCAGGCATCGCTGCAAGCCAATCGCTATGCATTGCAGGAGTGGCGCAGGGTGGAGGGCGAGCTACTGCGTGAGCGTGGCATATGGGGACCCAGCGAGCAGTCTGCACTCAGCAAGTGGAAGCTGGATCTAATGGAAGGTTAGTGCACACGCACGCATGCACGCACACACATACTCAAGCATGCACACACATACACTCAAGCACGCACTCAAGCACGCAAGCACACACACGCATGCGCTGGTAAGATTTTTTTGCCAGAATATTGTGCCTGTGGTGTTCATGACAGGAACGAGCATCTCTTGTTGGTGACCAGCTTGGGTAAGGGCCAGGTTCCACTGCGGCTCCGCTGCTCACCGTGACCGCGGCTTGCTCAGATTTGCCCCTGGAGGCGGGAAAATCGCTTTCGTTGCGGAGAGAAAACATGTGCCAGTTATACCAATAGTCCAGGATGGTGCATGGCATACTGCGCTGGGTCAACTGTCCGCTGCTGCTTAGTGGGGCAGTGGGGCAGTTCCAGCGCTCGCACACGTTGTGGAGAGCACAGGCAACAACAACGACATCAGCAGCAAAACCGGGATCCCTAATGTTGCTGCGAACTAAAATCCGGAAGCGCCTTTGAGTCTTCTAGAAGCTTGCTCGACCACGCGCCTAGTCCGAATCAGACGGTAGTTGAATGACTGCTGCTGTGCAGGGGTGACTGGAGTGGTGAAACACTTCATTGTGAAGGTGTTCAGGGCAAATGCAGAGTCGGCAACCAGATAGTTGTATAGTATTGCCAGTTGACCGATGAGCAGTGGGTTGGACACCAACCATGTCTTGTCCACAATGTTCTGCCATGGTGCAGACGGCGCAAACGCTGCGGCCTCACCGACGGATCCCGGTTGCCCACGGCTGAGGTTTGTGAATACCCCTCTGGCATCGCGCACAGCGCTCAGGATCATGATGGATGGGCAGTTCATGTAGCACCAGTACACATCACTGTGTGCCACAAGCAGGAGTCTGAAACGACCGAAGAAGACAGCGAGAAGCTTCTTCTTTTTCAGGCAACGAGCCATTGCCAGCATTTTGACAGTCACACAACTCTTGAAGCTCCGCAAGGACACCAACACACCACCAACTACGAACTATACTTCGCTGAATCGAAAATCGATTTCGTTGTTTCATTGCGGAGTGAAAATAAGTAGCAGTAGTACAGCTGTTGTACGCAACAGTCCAGTAGCACCAACAGTGCATAACCTGGGGGCATGTACCATTGTAACCTCGGTAGTGCCTTCAAGGTATACGCGATCAAAATACGTCATCAAAACAAAGGTTACCTTAGAAATCAACTGCTCCCGCAGTTGCGCCCAATCGTACATAAGCCTGGTTTTAGTGTTGACACACATAGAAATACCTGGTTTGAATAGAAGCCTGATGTAAATAGAAGCCTAGCCCTGACATCGGCTTCGACAGGAGTAAGCCCGGCTTTAATACGCGAAATTACGGTACATCAAATTGATCAGTGTAACATCATAAAAAGTTTGTGTTCAAGGAGAGAAAACACAGTCACATCGATCGGGGAACTGATTTTTTTCATCGGTTCCATACTCCTTTGACTACGACGATATATTCATACATGAGAGAATAGAAACTTCAGCGCGTGTTATTTGGCACGCACGTTGGAAAACAACGCGCGTGACCTGCAGCTCACGTCGAAATTTGGAGTTCTATGCCAATTTTGAAGCGAAATTGCGTGTCATGTCAAAAATAACGCGCAGCTTAACCTCTCTATAAATGCTGGGAGAAACAGATTGACAAGAACTCCACTGAGCTCAAGAGCACATGTTCGTGACAATATCGTCGCAGTATGGCCTCAACGGATCTTATCATAACGAAGAAATGTGTTAAAACGTTAGATTTACTTCCTCGTTATACATTTACAGACAGAGAAGTAACAGTACAGCAGTTCTGGGATGAGTTCCAATGAAACTACTGGGAAGTTGGAAATGATTCCTGGACATGGACTGGAAAACTCTTTCCCACGGAGAGAGGGGGAGCGCATGGCAATGGTTTTCGCCAGGGAGTCGTCAAATACCGTATTTGACGACTCCCTGGTTTTCGCCCACTGATTGAACCGGGGGTGTAGCTGGTCCCTCTTTTAAGGGAGGGGAGGGGGGGGGGGGGGGGGGAGGTGCGCGGCTGCATATGATTGTGCAGGATGGCTGGTGCATGTCATTCATAGTCATTACGTGCATGCTGAACCTAGGTCGAAATTTTCACGTGCCCCTCATGCCCCATGCGGGCTACGCATCTGGATTCTGTGGTACTGCCATCCCTGCTACAGCATACGATCTGTGAGATTCTGCTACGTATGCTACGCCGGGCATTATAAATTATTATCTTGAGTTTCTTGACCCAAAAGCAGCACCACAGAAGTGATAGGGAAAGGCAGGAAGTGACAGGAAAACAAGAAGTGGATCAGAAACCCTGGATATCACTTTGCCTTGGACTTGCGGTTTTCAGCACTTCTTGATTGAAAGAGAAAAAGTCTTATACAAGAGGATTCTTGCTGGGTGGGCTCTAAGGGACCGTCCATAATTGTCAATCTTTTACCCCAAACAAAAAAAGTTTCGTTTATGGGTGGGTCGAGGAGAGTTTCGTTCTGAAAAAAACCGGTAGGCTAAAATCCATCCATTCTATAGCTGTCAAGTCAATATATTTTTCATTCTGTTCGGTGGATGGGTGGGGGAGGGTCATATCTAAACTTTTTCGTTTCTTGAAAATAATCGATTATGCCGGACGGCCCCTTAAACAGAGCGTCAACGTTTGCCAGGTTAGAACAGGAATGAAGCCTAAGGGGCCATCCGTAAATATAGATATTTACATGTATTTAGAAACGAAAACTAGTCGTTTAGGGGGGAGGGAGTTGAGCGCCTGTTCGTTTCTCGAAAAATATCGATGTACATTTTGCATGTGTGAGCATGTCCAGAAAAAAAGATCAAAAACATCGATACTATGTACTATTTGTATGTGTTCGTTTCTCAGGGAGGGAGGTTGAAGGGAAACGACTAGTTTTCGTTTCTAAATAAATATCGGTATTTACGGAAGGCCCCTAACCTGTCTGATGGTGTTTCTTGTTTCTCTGCGTGGGTTTACAGGACCTGGACGCATGCGTAAGAGACTTGTTCTGAACGATAACTTCTATTCACACTACCCATTCCGATCGGAGCAGGACAAACGGATAGAGGTATGTGTGTGTGCGGGTCACTGGTACCATGGTATGATGACATACCTCAATGGTCTGTTTGCTGTGTGTGTGTGTATGTGTGTGTGTGTGTCTGGCCAAAAAAAGCCACTTCATAGCTGTGTGGTGTAGACCAGGCTGAATAGTGGCGGTCAATTCTTCAGCCTTGCAAGCTGTTGAATGGTGCAATCCCAGCACAAGCTGCTATGGCTTCTGCTGTAGCATCGCTATCATCGCCTCTGGCGATGGGCGTCCAATGGTCCAATGGTGTGTGTGTGTGTGTGTGTGTGTGTGTGTGTGTGCAACATCGACGGAGCAGTGCTAATTTCGTCTGGAAGACCTTCACCTGGCGAGGGAGAGTCGTGTCGAAGGGGTGAAGGTGTTGCGATTCTGTTGCTGGGAAATGCAGCTCGCGCGTGGCGTGACGGTTTTTTGGGTGTTAGTTAGTTAGTAGTCAGTTAGGAATTTTGTAGCTCTCATCGTTTGATTAGTTTTTGTTAGTTTTCAGTTCTCAGGGACGACTCTGGGCTTCCAGGGTCGTCCCTGGGACAGTTCCCAGTAGAAGTCCACAGCGGAAAGTCAGCAGAGCAGATTACAGGACGAACTTCGGGTGTCGTCACTCTGACTCTGTTTTCCGCTGTTGGACCCATCGCGAGGCCTTGCAAGCCCGCGAATGGAGCCATCTACCGCACGCAGTAGGAGACGAAAGGAGTTTACCCTGAGCGTTGGGACGTGGAATGTCCGCTCGTTGCTGGAAAGTGAAGGACCCGTCCAAACAGCATCCACTCGACATCAAGTGGCTGACGATAAGAAAATTTATCGGATAATTCAAATTTTCAAACGTCTTGGATTGGAAATAGTTTGTCTTCAAGAGACCTACTGGCTGGATAAGAACGTTTACAACATCGACGGAGCAGTGCTAATTTCGTCTGGAAGACCTTCACCTGGCGAGGGAGAGTCGTGTCGAAGGGGTGAAGGTGTTGCGATTCTGTTGCTGGGAAATGCAGCTCGCGCGTGGCGTGACGGCGGTTGTCAATACGACGCCCGCAGCTCTCGGATTGTGTCAGCGCGATTGAAGTTTGATATTCATGGGTGTTCACCGGTATGGTATACTGTCATCTCCGCATATGCTCCGACGTTCGCCAGCAAGCGAATTGCCAAGGAACAGTTCTTTGCGGACTTGCAAGCGACTTTGCCACGGATGGGCACAGAAAAGTTTATTCTGTTGGGTGACTTCAACGCCAGAGTTGGATCCCGTACGCATGCTGACGCTGATGAGTGGTCACGTGTACGGGGCCCACATGGAGTGGGTGAGATGAACTCTGCAGGACGTGAGCTGTTGGATTTTCTTGCAACTATTCAGGCGATGGTGTGTAACACATGGTTCTGCAAGACAGAGGATAGGAAGTGGACCTGGCAACATCCAAGGTCAAAGAGATTTCATTGTATTGATTTTGTCATCACGTCACAAGCTGACTACCACCAATGTATTGATGCTCAAGTTATAAGAAGTGCGGAATGTGGGAGCGACCACAACCTGGTGGCTGCGCGTTTTGTAGTAGGCCGTCTGCAGCGCCGCTCGCGTTGTGTGCAAACGAAGAAATGTAAGCGGTTTGATGTTGCACGTTTGAAGGATGTCCACAGCACTGACTCATCTGGAAACATCACACGAGTTGCTGATGTCTATCGTGAATGCCTCACAAACAGTCTGCAACAGCCGAATGAACATACCACCGTTGAATGCAAATGGTCGAGGTTGCGCACCGCGGTCACCGAGTCTGCAGAGGAGACCCTCGGTTTTCAGAAACGTCGTCAACCAGATTGGTTTACTGAGAGCAAAGATACCCTCGAACCCTTGTTGAATGAAAGGAATCAGCGATATCAAGAATGGATTTCAAGTGGCAGGTCTGATGACACGTGGAACAGGTTCAAGGCTGCCAGGAGTAAGGCAAGAGCTGCTGTCCGCTCTGCCAAGAACTCCTGGTTCACCAACAAAGCCAAATCTCTTGATGGTGCACGGTTCAGTTCCTCACGGGTGTGGGCATGTGTTAAGGATATGCAGGCTGCCAAGCAGGGATTACGCCCTGTGTCTACTACCGCTATTAGGGATGCAAATGGCAACATCTGCAAATCTGTGGAGGAACAAGGTGGACGATGGTACCAACATTTCGATGGCGTACTCAACATCCCTAGCACATTTGATCCATGTGCCATTGACGAAATAGACCAGCAGCCTATCAACCAGAACATCGCTGGCAAGCCGGATGCAGCAGAGGTGGCGCGAGGTATTCGACAACTCAGCAACGGCAAGGCCTCTGGCGCCTCAGCTATCCTGCCTGAGTTGGTCAAAGCGGGTGGTGAGAGTTTCATGGAGGCACTGTTGGATCTGTTGCACCATGTCTGGGATGACGAGGCTGTTCCGCAGGAATGGGTAGACTGCAACCTTGTGCCAATCCCAAAGAAAGGTAACCTCTCATTGTGTGATAATTGGCGTGGCATATCACTCCTGGATGTTGTTGGGAAAGTTGCTGCTCGAGTACTTCAGTCCAGATTACAGATTATTGCGGAGAATATTCTACCCGACTCCCAGTGCGGCTTTCGTAAGGGTCGATCTTGCACAGACATGGTGTTTGCAGTTCGCCAAGTCCTGGAGAAGTTGTACGAACATCGCTGCCCGGGATACGTTGTCTTTGTTGATTTACGTAAGGCGTACGACTCAGTAAACCGTGAATGCATGTGGCTGATTCTCGCGAAGGCAGGGGTCCCTAGTAACATCGTAAACATCATCAAGTCGTTTCACACCTCCATGTCGGCTACTCTCTCCATCGGGTCAACACCCATCCAACCCATTGCAGTGAAGAGTGGTTTGCGGCAGGGCTGTTGTATGGCACCAGTCTTATTCAACATATTCATGTGGGCTGTTTTCCAGAGATGGTCCAGAGTGGTCGAGCATGTGCCTGGTATCGGCGTCCCGTTGGCATTCAATCCTGGGGGCTCGCTTTATTTCAAGAGAAAGCGTACTGACGATCAGACTACCATCAACGACTGCCAGTTCGCTGACGACTCTGCACTGTTTGCCACTACCCGTACTGCTGCTGCTCTTGCTCTGGATATGTTCATCGATGTCTCGTCTGCATTTGGTCTGACCGTCAATCTGGACAAGACCAAATTTATGGCGGTTGGCTATGGTATCACGGATGATGACCGACTTCCTCTTCCTGTGAAGAATGGCACATTGGAATGTGTGCGTGAGTTCCGATACCTGGGTGCTGTTATCCATGATTCTGGCCGATCTCACAAAGATGTATCGACCCGTGTTTCATCTGCCTCCCGTGCTTTTGGAGCGCTCCGTCATGCTGTCTTCAATGACCACAATCTCTCTCTGCGCACCAAGCGTCTGGTTTTCGAGGCCTGTGTTCTGTCCTTACTGCTCTATTGTGCGGAGACGTGGGTACCGCTGCAAAGTGATGTGCAACGGATCACGACCTTCTACTACCGGTCGCTTCTTTCCATCATGAGTGTTGCACAGCGGGATGTGTGGGACTTGAAGATAGCCAAGGACACCATTCTGAAAACATGGAATGCAGCAAACCCACTGGATATCCCCGACCGCCTCATGCAGAGAAGACTGGAATGGCTTGGGCACGTGGTACGCATGCCTGAGGAGCGGATGCCGCGGATGTTGTTGTTTGGCACATTGCTGCCACCACGCCCAGCGTGTGGCCCGCGGAAACGATGGCGAGACGCAATTAGGGTCGACCTGCGACGAATAAACATCGCCGACGAGTCATGGTTTGACACAGCGCAGGAACGATCTGAGTGGCGGCAAGCTTATCGAGCAATACAACCAGCTCAGAAACCGGCTCGGGAGATAGTCTGCGAGGTGTGCCGGCGTGCATTTGCTCGGCAGCAAGATATCGCCCGCCACAAGTGCATCATGGAACGGCGTAAACCAGTCCAGCAGCAAGCCAACAGCCGCCAGTGCTCCCAGTGTCACCGATGGTTTCGGAGTGCGGGTGGCATTGCAGTCCATCGCTGTGTCCAGTCCAATTCTGCCCCGAATGTTGCCAATGCCACAAGCTCTTCACCTGTACGCCTATGTATTCGGAAACCGTGCTGTACCGCTCACTGTCCCATTTGTGAACGCTGCTGTAAGTCGATCCGGGGCTTTGCTATCCACAACTGCAACCGATCCACCAGGCGCCCAACTGCTGATGAAAGGGACAAGTTCCAATTGCAATGTCAGAATTGCCGGAGGCGTTTCAAAAGGCGAAACGACTTATCCCGTCACCAACGCTCATGTCTCCTCTCGTCTCCGTCTCGCTCAACGAGAAACACGTGACCTACATGGCAGTGTATACCAGGACCAGGACCAGGTGTGTGTGTGTGTGTGTGTGTGTGTGTGTGTGTGAAACCGTGGTTGTGCTGATGCCATCTTCTCTGTCCGTCAACTGGTAGAGAAATCATATGAGCATAGATCGAAGCTGTTTTGCGTCTTTGTGGACCTCCGCAAAGCATACGACTCTGTGCCTCGTGAGGCTCTGTGGCAGGCATTGCTTCGGCTCGGTGTCCCCCCTCAGGCTGTGGCTCTCGTGAAGTCGTTCCATACGGACATGTTGGCGTCTGTTCGTGTTGCTGGTGGTTGTACCGATCCGATCTCTGTACAAAATGGTTTACGGCAGGGGTGTGTCATGGCTCCTGTGCTGTTCAACCTGTATTTCGGATTGGTGATGGAGCGGTGGAGGTCTGTTCTCAGGGAGCGCGGCATCGAGTCTGGTGTGGATTTCAGCTTCTTGATTAATGGACAGTTGTTTCCCCGTGCAGCTGGGCGACGTCGACAGTCTCAGACTGGTCATGCTGATGATTTTGAGTTTGCCGATGACGCCGTCCTACTCGCAACAACTCGTGCTGCAGCCGACCTGTCCCTGTCCGCCTTCTGCGATGTGGCATCCAGCTTTGGCCTCACGGTCAGCATGACGAAGACTAAGCTACTGGTCGCGGGCTATGGAGTCGCTGCCGCTGATTGTTCCGATCTGGCAGTTGGCAATGAAAGGGTTGAAGCTGTTACCTCCTTCCCCTATCTTGGATCTGTTATAACTCCGGATTCGCGAGCTCATGCCGATGTCCAGAGCCGCCTTGCGAAGGGTGCCAGGGCCTTTGGCTGTCTTCGGCGGATTTTACATGATCAGAGCCTGAACCTGCCTACTCGACGGCATTTGTATGTGGTATGTGTTCTCACCACGGTTTTGTATGGCTCGGAGTGTTGGACCCCATTGAAGTCGGACTTGGACAAGCTGGACAGGTTCCATCACGCCAACCTACGGTCAATCCTTGGCATTTCGCGCGGCCGCCAGTGGGAGCAGCACATTACATCGGAGCAACTACGCACACAGTGGGGTGACCCTACTCCACTGTCGTGCATGGTACAGCGAAGACGCTTGGAGTGGCTTGGGCACCTAGCTCGGCTTGATAACAATCGGTTACCCAAGCAGTTGCTCTTCGCTCATCTTCCACGAACCCGCCCGTTTTGCGGCCCCCGACATCGCTGGAGGGACGTTGTCCAGGCTGATCTGACTGTGGCCGGTGTGCACAATTGGTTCCAATCAGCCAATGATCGCGGAGAGTGGCGTGACATAGTGTCGGCAGCAGCGGGGGTGAAGGAGCCTGCCCCGAAGACGATTGTGTGCCACGTTTGCGGCCGCCTGTTTCGTCGGCGCGCCGACATGGCCCGGCACAAGTGCACAGCAGTCCGACAGCTCCCCGTATCACAGCAGCCTGGGTCGGTGCAGTGTCCTGCCTGCAGTAGATGGCTCCGGAGCAGGGGTGGGCTTGCAGTGCATAAGTGCCTAGGGAGTGGCAACTGTGACGACCGACCGCCTTTTGATGCTCCTCCTGTTGCCGAGGTCCCGGTGTGTACTGCCTGCCAGCGTACTTTCAAGTCTACTGCTGGCCTCAAGCGCCATCGCTGTGGACCCCGCCCGAAGCGCCCTACAGTGACTGATCGCCAGCACTTTGAACATCGTTGCCGAGTCTGTAGTCAACGTCAGTTTCGGAGGCGACAGGACCTGGAGCGCCATTTGAAGCACTGCCTACCTCTCCCCTAACCTCTCTGACAGTACCTCCCTTTGGGGAGCGGCGTGGCCATTTCTGGCAGCTGTCAATAGTAGTAGTAGTAGTAGTGTGTGTGTGTGTGTGTGTGTGTGTGTGTGTGTGTGTGTGTGTGTGTGTGTGTGTATGCGTGTGTGTGTATGTGTGTGTGTGTGTGTACGGATGACCTTGGTATGATGACTGCACATAGCTTAGTGGAGAGCATCGCTGGCCATGAGCGAGGGTCCCTGTTTCGAGTCCTGGTGATGACAATCAATTTTTTCTTCAGACTTTTCCCGTTTGCAACTTCCCCTCGAACTGATGAAGATCTTGGTACGATCTACGCATGGTGATTTTCAATCCCCGGATGGCTAGCTATTAGCCTTAGCCTTGTTTGGACTCTTTTCGACCTTGCTTGCTAATTCAGTATCTTTACAGCAGAATCCAGTTGCCACTGTAATTGTGGTTGTTGCTCGCTGCTGGCGCTGCTGGTGCGTTTCCTGCTGGTGCTGCTGGTGCGTTTCCTGCTGGTGCTGGTGCTGGTAGTGCTGCTGCTGCTGCTGCTGCTGGTGCTGGTGCTGGTGCTGGTGCTGCTGCTGCTGCTGCTGGTGGTGCTGCTGTTGGTGCTGGTGGTGGTGCTGGTGGTGGTGCTGTTGCTGCTGCTGCTGCTGCTGGTGGTGGTGGTGGTGGTGGTGGTACTGCTGCTGCTACTGGTGGTGCTGGTGGTAGAGGTGCTGGTAGTGCTGGTGTTGCTGGTGGTAGAGGTACTGTTGCTGTTGATGGTCCATGTGCTGCTGTTGATGGTTCAGGTGCTGGTGCTGCTGGTAGAGGTGCTGCTGCTGCTGGTAGAGGTGCTGCTGGTAGAGGTGCTGCTGCTTATGGTTATTGGTTCAGGTGCTGGTGGAGGTGCTGGTAGAGGTGCTGGTGTTCTCATCTTCATAGTTTTGCCTGTGTTCTATTTTTCTATTGCTGTATCCAGGTTCCCGGTAAGAACAAGTTTGCACGCAGTGCGCACAGTAAGATCTACTACCACCACTATGTCACTGGCGACCACCGGGTCAACATCTTTGAAAGCCTGCTCAGCGGAGGCGATGAGGAGAGACAGCGATCTCTCAGCTCCAGTACAAGCGACAGCACTGCGGGCCAGGCGACCAAAGCCACCGACTCGACAGCCGACGCATTGACCAGAACCGCGCCAAGCTCGTCGGAGCGCGGGCGGGACGAAACGCTAACACAGGACGGCGTGCTGAAGCATGTTGCGTCCAAGGACAAGACACCAGCGCGGGACAGATCAAAATCAGGTGAGATTGATTGCGTGGAATGTCGCTTATCCGGTGTTCAGTCATCCGGTATGTCTTGTTATCCAACAGCGCATTGATAGATCATACCCTCTGCTGTCGGCCCTTGCTTACAATATCCGGATAGGGGAGGGAACCGTGTAGTCGAACACACATACTGTATTTATGCAAGACATATGCTGTAAATCGGTAACCAACGATTTTCTTCCGGATGGCGAGGGATCCGGATAAGCGAGGACCGGATAAGCGAGGTCTGCCTGTATACCTACAGTCCTACATCAAGTAAGAGTGGATAGTGAGCATCACAAACGTTGCCTTTACAGTCGACTCCTGGCCCGTTGTGCAGGGGAATTACCGGTAGTTCTTTATAGCCTCGTGTGCGATAATGATTAGTAATGAGCCCAACGAAACCTATGCTCCTCCTGTTGACCGTGTGTAGCTATTATTGCTTGCATGCTCAAACGTGTGTGTTTGTATGTGTGTGTGTGTGCATGTGCGTGTGTGTGTGTTTATGTACATGTATGTGCATGTGCCCATGTCCAGGTGTCGGTGTAGTTGAGCATGTACCCACCATACCCCTCTCACAGGGCAGCAATGAAGCAACCGAGTTTGGACAGGTCAGTTAGTAACACAGTTACCGTATTATCTCTAATATAAGCACGGTCCTTTATTTTTTCAATGTACCTCTGCCCCGTGCTATTAATGGAGACGTTCCTTTATTGGAGACTGTTCCATTATTATTTCAACCTCACTTCATAGGCATGTTGCCATGGCCAAATTCATGTCAGACACACACATTTCAGGGGTTTTTCGCCGGTACAGATAATGAATCTACACTAGTGTGCTTATAATGGAGACTGAGCACTTTATTTTTTGAATGCCGCCCCAAGGTGTTCTATTATTGGAGACATGCTATTATTGGAGACTGTGCTTATATTAGAGATAATACGGTATGCAGAGTGTGTATGTTCTCTATTACTCCGGCTGTTCATGTTAGTCAGAGAGTCATGTAGAGTGCGTACAGTCTGTATTGGTCCTGTTCTGCCTGTCAAATCAGAACGTATACGAAGACACACGGGCGATTGAGATCGCAAGTTGCATGGACCACTTATCACGTAGAACTTCCGAGTCCGAAGAGTCAAAACGTACAGTGTTTTCGGGTACTTTGGTCTCGTGCCGTCTCCCTAGATGCTACCACAGCCTGATTTTCATACTAGTATTACACAAAGTGTGTGAGGTCCTTGCTGCAGCGTAGTGCTCAATACCCTAACACGGGCTGAGCGTACTACACGAGGCAGAACAACAGAGACCAATCTCTTTCTCGTGACTCCGTTGTTACCGGATACTGTATGACCAGATATTTTAAAACATCAATTAAAGGTAACGATCTCCGGATTTTGTGGGTTAGCCAGGTGAAAATTCTAACAAATTCTGTCTCAAAACCGGCAAATCACTGTACATGTACATATCGTTTTGTACATGACGACTTCAGATGTTAACGAATTGTTTAAATTCGTTAAATCGTTAGAATTAAATGTTCGTTAACATTACTGGTCTTACAGTATTTCAGTTAGTTGTGTGCGACGTGGGCAATGGCGTGTTGTCCGTGTATTGATGTGTTGTCCGTGTATTGATGTGTTGTCCGTGTGTTGATGTGATGCATTGCTGCCATCTTGCCACCGTGTTGCCGCGTTCCCAGGGGCAAGTGTTCTCCGTCGGCAAAGGTCAAGACGTTGAGCAGTTTGTCATGAAGGCACTGGATCATGGACACAAAGTAGGTGATAACTGCCTAGCGTGGGCGGGGGGGGGGGGGTATGAATTCAGGCTTTGTTGGAGGCTAAACGACTTTTTGCATTTCACTGCCCTTGCCTTGTATGTGTGTACAGTCGACTCCACTTTGAACAAACTCGCATATAGCGAATTGCGTGATATAGCGAACCATTGTCCATGTGGCATGTCCCTCTTTGAACCCATACAATATTGACCCTTTATAGCGAACAGTTTTCGTTTATAACGAACCAAATCTTGTAGAACTGCATGTAAACCAAGTGCAGTCCTATTGTCATGGGCCACTTGTTAGTCATGACTTGCTGCTTGTATAGTGTGAGTGCATTTCTGTTATAACAAACTTTGGCTATAAAGAACTAATTCTCCTGCACAATGGTGTTGGTTATATCAGGAGTCGACTGTACATGTATGTACAGTGGTGGAAACTGGACCACTGGAAGCAGTTTTTGATTGGTCTAGCAGTAGCAGAGCCTTTCATACTGTGTGTATGACATGGTGGGTGCACGTGCCCTCCTTTCTACACCTTGTCCCACTCAGCACCTGGTAAATCAACCCCGGCCATGATTTCAAAGCAAACTTCCTACCTTTTGTTGTCACTTCAGGATGTAACTGCTCGCATTGTTCAGCATCATGATGTACAATAGAGTGCCATTATCCGCACGCCTTGGGGTGCGGCCTGTCTCCAGGGGGTTAGGATGTGGAAAGCACGCCTTGGGGTGCGGCCTGTCTCCAGGGGGTTAGGATGTGGAAAGCACGCCTTGGGGTGCGGCCTGTCTCCAGGGGGTTAGGATGTGGAAAGCACGCCTTGGGGTGCGGCCTGTCTCCAGGGGGTTAGGATGTGGAAAGCACGCCTTGGGGTGCGGCCTGTCTCCAGGGGGTTAGGATGTGGAAAGCACGCCTTGGGGTGCGGCCTGTCTCCAGGGGGTTAGGATGTGGAAAGCACGCCTTGGGGTGCGGCCTGTCTCCAGGGGGTTAGGATGTGGAAAGCACGCCTTGGGGTGCGGCCTGTCTCCAGGGGGTTAGGATGTGGAAAGCACGCCTTGGGGTGCGGCCTGTCTCCAGGGGGTTAGGATGTGGAAAGCACGCCTTGGGGTGCGGCCTGTCTCCAGGGGGTTAGGATGTGGAAAGCACGCCTTGGGGTGCGGCCTGTCTCCAGGGGGTTAGGATGTGGAAAGCACGCCTTGGGGTGCGGCCTGTCTCCAGGGGGTTAGGATGTGGAAAGCACGCCTTGGGGTGCGGCCTGTCTCCAGGGGGTTAGGATGTGGAAAGCACGCCTTGGGGTGCGGCCTGTCTCCAGGGGGTTAGGATGTGGAAAGCACGCCTTGGGGTGCGGCCTGTCTCCAGGGGGTTAGGATGTGGAAAGCACGCCTTGGGGTGCGGCCTGTCTCCAGGGGGTTAGGATGTGGAAAGCACGCCTTGGGGTGCGGCCTGTCTCCAGGGGGTTAGGATGTGGAAAGCACGCCTTGGGGTGCGGCCTGTCTCCAGGGGGTTAGGATGTGGAAAGCACGCCTTGGGGTGCGGCCTGTCTCCAGGGGGTTAGGATGTGGAAAGCACGCCTTGGGGTGCGGCCTGTCTCCAGGGGGTTAGGATGTGGAAAGCACGCCTTGGGGTGCGGCCTGTCTCCAGGGGGTTAGGATGTGGAAAGCACGCCTTGGGGTGCGGCCTGTCTCCAGGGGGTTAGGATGTGGAAAGCACGCCTTGGGGTGCGGCCTGTCTCCAGGGGGTTAGGATGTGGAAAGCACGCCTTGGGGTGCGGCCTGTCTCCAGGGGGTTAGGATGTGGAAAGCACGCCTTGGGGTGCGGCCTGTCTCCAGGGGGTTAGGATGTGGAAAGCACGCCTTGGGGTGCGGCCTGTCTCCAGGGGGTTAGGATGTGGAAAGCACGCCTTGGGGTGCGGCCTGTCTCCAGGGGGTTAGGATGTGGAAAGCACGCCTTGGGGTGCGGCCTGTCTCCAGGGGGTTAGGATGTGGAAAGCACGCCTTGGGGTGCGGCCTGTCTCCAGGGGGTTAGGATGTGGAAAGCACGCCTTGGGGTGCGGCCTGTCTCCAGGGGGTTAGGATGTGGAAAGCACGCCTTGGGGTGCGGCCTGTCTCCAGGGGGTTAGGATGTGGAAAGCACGCCTTGGGGTGCGGCCTGTCTCCAGGGGGTTAGGATGTGGAAAGCACGCCTTGGGGTGCGGCCTGTCTCCAGGGGGTTAGGATGTGGAAAGCACGCCTTGGGGTGCGGCCTGTCTCCAGGGGGTTAGGATGTGGAAAGCACGCCTTGGGGTGCGGCCTGTCTCCAGGGGGTTAGGATGTGGAAAGCACGCCTTGGGGTGCGGCCTGTCTCCAGGGGGTTAGGATGTGGAAAGCACGCCTTGGGGTGCGGCCTGTCTCCAGGGGGTTAGGATGTGGAAAGCACGCCTTGGGGTGCGGCCTGTCTCCAGGGGGTTAGGATGTGGAAAGCACGCCTTGGGGTGCGGCCTGTCTCCAGGGGGTTAGGATGTGGAAAGCACGCCTTGGGGTGCGGCCTGTCTCCAGGGGGTTAGGATGTGGAAAGCACGCCTTGGGGTGCGGCCTGTCTCCAGGGGGTTAGGATGTGGAAAGCACGCCTTGGGGTGCGGCCTGTCTCCAGGGGGTTAGGATGTGGAAAGCACGCCTTGGGGTGCGGCCTGTCTCCAGGGGGTTAGGATGTGGAAAGCACGCCTTGGGGTGCGGCCTGTCTCCAGGGGGTTAGGATGTGGAAAGCACGCCTTGGGGTGCGGCCTGTCTCCAGGGGGTTAGGATGTGGAAAGCACGCCTTGGGGTGCGGCCTGTCTCCAGGGGGTTAGGATGTGGAAAGCACGCCTTGGGGTGCGGCCTGTCTCCAGGGGGTTAGGATGTGGAAAGCACGCCTTGGGGTGCGGCCTGTCTCCAGGGGGTTAGGATGTGGAAAGCACGCCTTGGGGTGCGGCCTGTCTCCAGGGGGTTAGGATGTGGAAAGCACGCCTTGGGGTGCGGCCTGTCTCCAGGGGGTTAGGATGTGGAAAGCACGCCTTGGGGTGCGGCCTGTCTCCAGGGGGTTAGGATGTGGAAAGCACGCCTTGGGGTGCGGCCTGTCTCCAGGGGGTTAGGATGTGGAAAGCACGCCTTGGGGTGCGGCCTGTCTCCAGGGGGTTAGGATGTGGAAAGCACGCCTTGGGGTGCGGCCTGTCTCCAGGGGGTTAGGATGTGGAAAGCACGCCTTGGGGTGCGGCCTGTCTCCAGGGGGTTAGGATGTGGAAAGCACGCCTTGGGGTGCGGCCTGTCTCCAGGGGGTTAGGATGTGGAAAGCACGCCTTGGGGTGCGGCCTGTCTCCAGGGGGTTAGGATGTGGAAAGCACGCCTTGGGGTGCGGCCTGTCTCCAGGGGGTTAGGATGTGGAAAGCACGCCTTGGGGTGCGGCCTGTCTCCAGGGGGTTAGGATGTGGAAAGCACGCCTTGGGGTGCGGCCTGTCTCCAGGGGGTTAGGATGTGGAAAGCACGCCTTGGGGTGCGGCCTGTCTCCAGGGGGTTAGGATGTGGAAAGCACGCCTTGGGGTGCGGCCTGTCTCCAGGGGGTTAGGATGTGGAAAGCACGCCTTGGGGTGCGGCCTGTCTCCAGGGGGTTAGGATGTGGAAAGCACGCCTTGGGGTGCGGCCTGTCTCCAGGGGGTTAGGATGTGGAAAGCACGCCTTGGGGTGCGGCCTGTCTCCAGGGGGTTAGGATGTGGAAAGCACGCCTTGGGGTGCGGCCTGTCTCCAGGGGGTTAGGATGTGGAAAGCACGCCTTGGGGTGCGGCCTGTCTCCAGGGGGTTAGGATGTGGAAAGCACGCCTTGGGGTGCGGCCTGTCTCCAGGGGGTTAGGATGTGGAAAGCACGCCTTGGGGTGCGGCCTGTCTCCAGGGGGTTAGGATGTGGAAAGCACGCCTTGGGGTGCGGCCTGTCTCCAGGGGGTTAGGATGTGGAAAGCACGCCTTGGGGTGCGGCCTGTCTCCAGGGGGTTAGGATGTGGAAAGCACGCCTTGGGGTGCGGCCTGTCTCCAGGGGGTTAGGATGTGGAAAGCACGCCTTGGGGTGCGGCCTGTCTCCAGGGGGTTAGGATGTGGAAAGCACGCCTTGGGGTGCGGCCTGTCTCCAGGGGGTTAGGATGTGGAAAGCACGCCTTGGGGTGCGGCCTGTCTCCAGGGGGTTAGGATGTGGAAAGCACGCCTTGGGGTGCGGCCTGTCTCCAGGGGGTTAGGATGTGGAAAGCACGCCTTGGGGTGCGGCCTGTCTCCAGGGGGTTAGGATGTGGAAAGCACGCCTTGGGGTGCGGCCTGTCTCCAGGGGGTTAGGATGTGGAAAGCACGCCTTGGGGTGCGGCCTGTCTCCAGGGGGTTAGGATGTGGAAAGCACGCCTTGGGGTGCGGCCTGTCTCCAGGGGGTTAGGATGTGGAAAGCACGCCTTGGGGTGCGGCCTGTCTCCAGGGGGTTAGGATGTGGAAAGCACGCCTTGGGGTGCGGCCTGTCTCCAGGGGGTTAGGATGTGGAAAGCACGCCTTGGGGTGCGGCCTGTCTCCAGGGGGTTAGGATGTGGAAAGCACGCCTTGGGGTGCGGCCTGTCTCCAGGGGGTTAGGATGTGGAAAGCACGCCTTGGGGTGCGGCCTGTCTCCAGGGGGTTAGGATGTGGAAAGCACGCCTTGGGGTGCGGCCTGTCTCCAGGGGGTTAGGATGTGGAAAGCACGCCTTGGGGTGCGGCCTGTCTCCAGGGGGTTAGGATGTGGAAAGCACGCCTTGGGGTGCGGCCTGTCTCCAGGGGGTTAGGATGTGGAAAGCACGCCTTGGGGTGCGGCCTGTCTCCAGGGGGTTAGGATGTGGAAAGCACGCCTTGGGGTGCGGCCTGTCTCCAGGGGGTTAGGATGTGGAAAGCACGCCTTGGGGTGCGGCCTGTCTCCAGGGGGTTAGGATGTGGAAAGCACGCCTTGGGGTGCGGCCTGTCTCCAGGGGGTTAGGATGTGGAAAGCACGCCTTGGGGTGCGGCCTGTCTCCAGGGGGTTAGGATGTGGAAAGCACGCCTTGGGGTGCGGCCTGTCTCCAGGGGGTTAGGATGTGGAAAGCACGCCTTGGGGTGCGGCCTGTCTCCAGGGGGTTAGGATGTGGAAAGCACGCCTTGGGGTGCGGCCTGTCTCCAGGGGGTTAGGATGTGGAAAGCACGCCTTGGGGTGCGGCCTGTCTCCAGGGGGTTAGGATGTGGAAAGCACGCCTTGGGGTGCGGCCTGTCTCCAGGGGGTTAGGATGTGGAAAGCACGCCTTGGGGTGCGGCCTGTCTCCAGGGGGTTAGGATGTGGAAAGCACGCCTTGGGGTGCGGCCTGTCTCCAGGGGGTTAGGATGTGGAAAGCACGCCTTGGGG